TGAAGTGTGGGAAGCACAGTGACTTCCTTCCAGAGATGACAGTGTGAACAAGGGGAGAAAGAAGATCTTCTCAGTGGAGAAATCTGATAAACACTACCTCAGGGCTCAAGGTCAAAATCAATTGTGAGAAAACATGTTGATGATATGTTTCTTCATCATGATTTCCTGAAAATGACCCTTTGCCTTCATGGTGTTCCTCCCCATTCCCACAGCCCCAGTCTGACCAAGAAAAAAAAAATGCCAGACGATTTCCAAAAGAGTGTAATTATACGAAAAACCCGACATGTACTCCTTAAAACTACTGTCATCGAAAACAATGAAAATATGAGAAACTTTCACAGCCCAGAGGAGCCTTAGGAGACATGGCAAACTAAACATAATGCAGTATCCTGGATGGAATCCTAGAACAGAAAAAGGATATTAGGTAAAAAGTAAGGAAATATGAATAAAGTATGAATGTTAGTTAATAATATATGTGTGTCAATATTGGTTCATTAATTGTAATAAATATACCATACTAATGCAAGATATTAATAATAGGGGAAACTGGATGTGTGGTATACGGGATCTCCATACAGTGTTTTCTATTCCTCTGTAATCTAAAACTTATAAAAGTAAAGTCAATTTAAATAATGCAAAATAATTAAGAGAGTTCAAGCAAAGCAAATAACCAATCAAGAGAATGAAAATTAGAGAAAGATATAAAAATGGTCAGGGAGAAAGTGGTCGAAATGAAAGACAGGCAAAGAAAGTCCAAAATATATATAATTGATGGCATGAAGGCAAAAATCAAAACAATGAAACAAAACTAATATTTAAACAAAGCTATAACCCAAGGAAACTTTCTGAAAATAAATGAAGACCTAAATCTACACAAAGAAAAGAATTTACCACGTACTGAGTAAAACTGACTCAGAATGACCAATTCTGAGACATAAACTAGGAAAGTTTGCATTTTAAAGGTAGAGAAAAAAGTCCTCATGCCTCAAAAAAAATAATGAAATAGCTTAACAAGGCAACAGAAATAGACTTATACTAGCCTTTAGAAAAAAACAAAGCAATGTATAAAGCAAGGCAATTTGCAATTTTTAAAAAGTGCGACCCAAACGTGCTATAACAACTAATTTGTCCGTCAAGTATCAAGGCGATAGAAAATAGTTTTGAAGATGAAATTAAAGATAAAGAGAGAATTTGCTTCCATATCTGAGGTCACTGCTCAGGAGTGTGGCCTGAATTTTATGGAAAATCTGATTATACAACAAATATTTCCATTCTGAAACCGGCATTGGTCTTACTGAAACTTTCTACAAATGCAAGCGTAAGCAAAGTACAATTTATTTAGAATTCAGTCTTGTTAATGGAGGGAGAAAGCTACCCTTTGACATGAGGGGAGAGTTATAAACACACCTTCTTGATCAGCAGTGACTTGAAGTTAGGGAAGTGTCTCTGCTTGGGAGAAAGTACTGCGATTTGTTAAAAGGATGAGCCTTGGGGTGAAAACAACAACAACAATAACAACTCAGTATTAGTGTTTTACTACCATTTGTTAATTGTGCAACCTCAAGAAAGTTACTTAATGGTCCTGTACCTCATTTTCTTCATCGGTATAATGAGGATAATTAGGTCTGCCTTACAATTTAGTTAAAAAATTAAATGTGGCCATCAGGAGCTCCTTCAAGTGGGCTCATGTGTTCTTTCAAAAAGCCCCAATGTTTTTTGAACACTGTTTACTCAGACTTATCTTGAATTTTCTCTGTCCTAGCCTTGTTATCTACTACTTCTCCAAGGACCCCTGGTTCCTTGTATTGGAAAATGGTGTTTAGAAGCCAAGAACTAGGAGCTAGACATACGCCTTAGCATGGAGGTTTCTCAATGATAAGAACTAGGAAACATACATATATGTACTAAATCACACATACACATGCATCTAGATGTCCAAGCTGGAATGATGGAGCAACAACATAACTAAGGACAATATTGAATTATAACTCATAAATTAAAAATTACTATTCCTGGGTTTATACTGATTTAATGATAAATAAATAGAGGCGGGAAGAACAACACTTCCTTACAGGTGAATTCCAATGAATAAACATAGAAGGAAAGAGGGAAATAAAAAAATAACCATTACATAGACACCACAGTAGTAATTGCTTCAGGGGCCGGCCCCAGGGAGTAGTGGTTAAGTTTGCATGCTCTGCTTCAGTGGCCCAGGGTTTACCAGTTCAGATCCTGGGTGTGGACGTACACACCACTTGTCAAGCCATGCTGTGGCAGCGTCCCACATAGAAGAACTAGAATGACTTATGAGTAGGATATACAACTATGTACTGGGGCTTTGGGGAGAAATAAAGAAAGAGGAAGAGGAAGGCTGGCAACAGATGTCAGCTCAGGGCTAATACTCCTCACCAAAAAGCACACACAAAAAAAGAAGCGAGCTTAATTTAAAAAAATTAATTGTTGCAGAAAGATCCATGATGGATACTAAAGTTAGCAGGCAAAAGATTGAGGAGGACTAGGATTAGCATAGTCTCCAAGTATCTCCTTCATGGTATTTATTCATTAGAGAGGGAAACATACTAACTTTGTAAACGAGAAACCTGCCCAAACCACCTTCGCTGAGTGACCAAGGTCAACATCCCTGGTAATAACACATATCGACATTATGAATCCCAAGATAGGATGCACTGAGAAGGATACAGCATCATTTCTGCAGTATGTTTGCCCCAAATGCATAACCTGTCTGTCCAATCATGAGAAAACATCAGACAAATCCAAACTGAAGGACATTTAACTAAATAACATTGATATTTATCAAAAGTGTGACGGTCATAAAAAAAGAGAAAAGACTAAAGAACTATTACAGATTGCAGGAGATTAAGAATAGATAAAAGTTAAGTGCAATTTGGGATTCTGGATAGGACTTTATAATGGTAAAAACGTCAAAGGAAAAATTGGTGAAATACACATAAATTTTGTAATTTAGTTCATAATGTTGTACAAGGTTAATTTCTTGGTCTTGATAATTATACTGAAGTTAATAACATTAATATCAAGGGAAGTGGGATGAAAGACAGATGGAAACTCTGCCTTTTTGTAATTTTTCTGAAAGGCTAAAATTAGTTTAAAATAAAAAAATTAAAAACCAAATATCTTGGTTACAATAATTAAATATGACAGTGTTTATAAAGCATTAATGACAGTATCTGGCATAATTGCACACAGAAAAATTAGTGAACACCATTATCATCATTATTATTAATATCAATATTATTAACATAATAAGATCTTATGAAGTACTACACGGAATTTTTCTGTTTGCCCAGATTGACAGCAAAGACCCACAGTGGAGGACAAAGGTGATAAGTTTACAGCATTGCAAATTCAGACCTTCTAGCTCTTGGGCCAACGGCTTTGCCTCACATCTTGCAAAGAAGCAGCCATTCTGCAGAAATAGCGATCACCTCCCCTCACCCCAAGATGATTTAGAAAACACTGAGAGGGAAGAAAAGTTTATTGTTTTTGAATAATGCAATACTCATGAAGAAATTCTACCTCTTCTCTTCACATTCCAGTTGTGGAAGGATGGGATCATGTGACTAACTCTGCTTCTCAAACCCAAGGGAATCACTTGTCAAATTTGGTAGTGTCAGGAAGTAGAGGTGTTATGGGTTGAATCACGTCCCCCCAAAAGATATGTTGAAATCTAACCCCAAGTACCTCAGAACGTGATCTTATTTGGAGATAAGAGTTGGAGATGTAATTAGTTAAGTTAGATGAGGTCATACTGGAGTAGGGTAGGCCCCAAATCCAATAAGACGTTGTGAAGACACACAGAAAGAAAACCATGTGATCACGGAGGCAGATTGGAGTGATGCAAGCCAAGGAATGCCAGGGAACAATGGCCACCATCAGAAACTAGGATGAGGCAGGAAAGGATACTATTCACAGTCTCAGAGGGAGCATGGCCCTGACAAGACCTTGATTTTGAACTTCCTGCCTTGAGAAGTGTGAGAGAATAAATTTCTATTGCTTTAAGCCACGCAATTTGCAGTACTTCTTATGGTAGCCCTAGGAAAGTAATACAAAAGGAGAGTGGTACCTGTCTAGAAGGCTACCTGTCAGCTAACCTGCCCAAAGCTCCCAGGGCAGGGGAACGAGCTTTGAGGAAGAATGGCATGGTAGGATGACGGATGTAGAAGATGGATCCTAGAGTGTCCATAGATACCAGAGGTGAAGCCACAGTGGGGAGATAAGACTGGGACCCAGGCCTTTAGAGGCCTACAGAGTGTGGGGCAGGGAGACATGCACAGCAAAGGAAGATGGCAGGACTTCCTTTGTCCTGCAGGCATGGACAGAGGCTCAGTGGGACTCAGGGGCTGAGCCTCACAAGGGACCCCTAATGTCTAATGGGGCTGATTAGATTGGAGCCCCCACTAGCATGAGGTCCCTTAAAGTGACCAGCAGTCCACATCAAGCTCACAATCAACAAAGTTGGAAAGTCATGCCAAAATGCCCAGGAAAACAACCCAGTTTACATGTTTTTCCCACCCTTTCCTCTCACCCCAATACCCAAGAGACTGCCATAGTGAAGGAGGGGCATGTAAAAGAGACGCCCATGCCTCATCCACACCACCATCTCCATGTTGTAGGGGTACAATGGAATGCTGGGGAGCTGCTGCAGAGCAGGACAGGAAAAGGAAAGCTTTCTCTCAGACAGGAGTTTGAAGCTTTAAAATTAAAGGGTCTGAATCTTAAGACCTAAAACAAAACTATTTTATTCACCTAAAGAGACTAAAATCTTATGAAATTAAATATCATGAAAGGTACTTGCTCCCCCGTGGGAAAGACAAGGATCAATTGAGCATTGTTAGGAGTTCTTACTAGAAACAATAAAACTATTTTATATTTATATACCTCAATGAGCCAAGACCCCTAACTAAACTGTAATAAAAAATAATAATAATAAAACAATAATATAATAATATCAATAATTGTACCTTTCCGTCTCATCAGCAAAATGTTCCCTGTCTGTAAGTAAGAGACATCTTCCTTTCCTGTTTACCTGAGGGCAAAGCTCCTTTTGACAACAAAGAACAAAGAGTTATTGATAAGCAAAGGATTCAAAGGACTCATTGAATTTGGCAAGGTTTATGAGTTTCTAAATGATGACCATTTTAGTAAGTGAATGGTGGAGGTGGGGAGGTCTCCAGGGAGCGTTGTGACTTGAAATATAATGAGTTTCTTTGGGGAGTAATTCATTAGGAAATGAGAAAGCAAACGCTATGTCAAGAGGAAGCTTTCGAAACTATTACTCTGCTTTAATCAGCAGGCTTGATTTTCCATTAAGAAACAAGAAAAAATATTTTCCCTGGCCAGGCAACTCTCAACAGGAGACTTTGTTGGTTTTTAATAAGGCAATGTATTTAGAGGCCTAGAGACTGGCCCACCTCAAGAGGTTTGTTGAATTTCAGAGTCAGGAAAATATGTCACATTTTTAATTATTATAGAAGAGAAAGTTGCTAACCTTAAGTAAGTAGTGTTGTCTCATTTTAGAGTTGGTGTGGGACCTTGGGAAAACATCTTCACCTCTCTGAGCTTCAATTTTCTCCTCTACAAAGGAAAATAACAGCACTTTTCACGTAGAAGCATTTTTGAGTTTAAAATGACATATGTAAAGCACTTTGCAAAAAAAAGAGCTAATAAATAGCAGAGCCAGCATTTAAACCCTTGTTGTTCTGACTACAAAACCCAAGTTCTTAATCTTTACCCTCTATTGCCTCTGCTTTCATAGAGAATTGTCATGAAGATCGCATATGAATGCATGAATGGAAGTGTGAAGGACAATATAAATATAAATTTTAGAGTCTGCTAAGATAGATCCAGGACTTTATAATCAGAACTAACGGCTTTTGGTAGTGATTTGAAGGGGAAAAGAAACAGCTCCATTGGAGTACAAAAGATATTTCTGTTATTCACTGCTCTTATTTCTAACTCCATCATGCATAATGCTGGCATATTCTACGTATTTGTTGAAAGGATGGCACACAATCAAACACCTGTCAAAGGAAAGAACACATTTGACAGAAAAACACCTATTTCAAGACTAAGCCGTTTAGAGGTGGTGACATCATTATCCTTAAAGGTTTAGCACACATAAAAAAATACCTACACTTTAAGAAAATTTCTTTATAGATGTGGATTATTTTGAACTTCGCATAATACGTGAATAATGGAAAAATGTCGTTTTAGAAGATGTTATGGCTTGACATGCAAAAGTAAAATATGCTTTTAGAAAGAAGTTATTCAGTTATCCCTTATCTAATCAGATATGTTAATTGAAAATAGATTGTAATTACATCTAATCAGGCTCCTCTAAAAATTTTAAGCCTAGATCTTGACGTCCATTGGGGCAAGAATCTTGCTAACTCAGCTTAGCAAAAATATCCCCCATGCACCATCGCCCCAACAGCTCATCAAATTCTTCATCGTTTACCAGCCCCCAGCTGATACATGCACTGTGGCCTGCCTTCAGCAAGAATCCTGTTGGATCTGTTTACCGACAATCCTCCCTCACCCCTGACGTTTTCTCATCGTAACTTCCCATCCATTGGACCCTCTGCCACCCTTCTTGCTTCATTCCTTGCTCCAGTTCTATCAACCTTTCAGTTGCTCAGACGTGCCATCCTCTTCCCTATTTCAGGGCTTTATGTGTGTATTTCCTTCAATTAATCAGTTCCTATTTAGCATCTTTCAGATTTCAGCACAGAGGTTACTTCCTTAGAGAATCATCTTTTAACATAGCAGATTAAATCAGGTCATTTTGCCATAAGTTCTCAACGTGTACTGGACAGAAAAAGCACTCATCACAGTAATGATATATTATCATTCCCTTTTTATTGTTTCTGCCCCACTAGAACATTAAGTTCCATCATATAAATGATATACATGTACATCACATTTTGCAAATTCCTTTACTCAACTAACAGTGCCGAAGGAAAAGAAAATCTGTAATACCCAACCCAAAGCCCTTGTTTATGCTGCCCACATTTCTCCTCTTCCTACGTCTTCTTCCTTCTCCACATCTTGTCTGCCATTTTCTTAGTGCTACAATATATCAAGGAACTAGTGACGTGCTGCATACGCCATCTCTAATTCTTAGAACAGTAAACCAATCAAGGGAATTATTACTTTCTCATTTGATGGATAAACAAACTAGATCCTAGAAGTCCAATCACATAAACGTAGCAGCACAGAAAGCAGGTAATGAAGCAGAATCTGGAACATAGGTCTGCATGGTTTCAAGCCCATCGTATTCTCTCTCCAACCTCCACACACTTCACCACCTCATCCATCATCAAAACCCCTCAGAGCACTACGATGGTATGCACCACTCCTTTGGGTGCATGCAGTGTTACCTGCCTGTATTGTTTGTAGGGGGGTCACAAGGTTGAAAATTCCAGCATCCCAGGAAACATATCTTACATTTCTTTCATGCTTTCCTCATAAGCCAGAGGGCATTGTGCCAGGAGCACGTGCTTGATGCATATGTTACTAAAGAATCACAAAATGTGACAGCAGGGGGAAAACTTGATGATTTGTCCAGTCTTTTATTTCATAACTAAGAAACTTAGTCTCAGATACGCTGTCTGCCTGCCCCGGGAACACTGACTAAATAAATGGAGGAGAACTCAGGACGTACAACACCGAAGTTTAAATTTTCTGTTTGTTGTACCATGTTGTGCCCGCCTACCTGATTAGTGAATAAATGATAAGAAAAATAAATTTATTTGAAAAAATGACTAACGTCAGTTCTCGGACCATCTAAGTTTGGGAGATGCCTAGCGTTCTGGAGGTGTTTTTTCCCTGATCAGTATCAAAGAGGGTTTTAAGCATGAAGGAAAAAGCAAGAATGAGAGCTGCATGCTCGTCTTACTTTTCCTCCAATGTCACGGCCTTTTATTGTCCATTTGCGGGTCAAAGAGCCTCTGAAATACAGCCCAGCTTGCAGCAGTGCTTACTAAGCAATACAAGAGACTTAGTTTTGCTGTCTTAGTGTAGGCCCTTTATCCCCTCTGGAGTCATGCAAACTTGCTTCTGTGGCTGAAACACTTCAAACAAGTCGACAGACTCTATTATTTTTACTTCAAGAATAAGTTTTATAGTTCTAAATCCTTTCTTTGGCCACAGTTTCATGGAAATTTATGAGACCAAAAAATGCCTACGACTAAATAGTGGGTCTCTGGACGGCAGCTGCTGAGAAGGACACTCGGAACTTATTCTTCATACTGTGCATTGCGCCAACAGCCAGCACTAAGATCTTGGACTTAATCCTAGCACCCCCTCTCAGGGTCCAAAGCACAGCACAGGGCGCAGCCACCACTGGTGCTCAAGGTCTTGCGTCTGTCATCTGCCTTTCTGGGCCATATCCTTCATATCCAGAGGGGTCATAGCCTGCAAACGACAGGATTCTAATGACAACTCCTTAATTAGACTGGAGAGATCATCACATTGAGTTACTAAAAGGTTAAGGGTCCAGGGAAGGTAATATGGATCATCTCATTAAAATAAATAATTTAAGTTCCCAGTAGTACGTGGCAAAGATACCAGACTTTTTGGTATCCCCTCAGAGAAAAGAATCATTTGATATTTTATGGGCCATGCAATGATTTTATCTAACCTGAAAGTGAAATACATATACATATTTATACATCTACAGGTATTTGTACATAAATATATGTAGTTAGATTTAGATATATGTATATATCCTTTGTGAATACTGGAAAGATAAAATAATGCATTTCACTGTTGCCACTGATTTGCATGATAAAAGAGAAAATGAACATTCTAAATGAACATATGAGGGAATGTTCAGTCTTGCAAATAATCAAATTAATGCAAATTAACACAATGAGGTTACATTTCATTGCTATCGCACAGATTAACTTTTAAAATAAATGACAATTGCCAAAGATAGTGAAGATGTAGTAAAATGTACAAGCTCAGACAATTTGGGGTGCAATTGCAATATGGGTCTATTATTTTGAAAAGCAATGTATCAGCTCATATCAAGAAAAATGAAGCTGTCTCAGTAATCCCTTCCTCAGAAGTTACTCTGGAAAAGACATTGATTTAAGCTTTTCCTTTCCTCTCAATTAAGATGCTGACTGAAATATTAACTATAATACCTAAAAAGGAGAAATAATGAAAATGCCCAAAATCATGGTGTGCCCACTCACTGGAATGTCATACGAATATTTAAAGACATTTTTTAAATTTACAACATCATGTTAAATATATATGACATAAAATTAAAAGAGCAAAGTATAAAATTCTATATTGATATTGACTACAACCATACAAAAATACATTTGCCTAAATTTTCTCGTAAACATAGCATCCTCTATTATTTTAAACAGTTGGCATCAGGAATGCTTTTCAATTTTTAATGTTATTTTATTTTCACAATTAAAATGGGAAAAAATAGGCCAAGACAGATTCTATTGGCCAGAAATAAAATGATTTTCTCATTGTAGAGGTGCGTATGTGGAAGTTAAGGAGCATAGACTTAGAAGTCAGTAGAACAGTTGAGTTTGTGGCTGTCTTTTCCCTTGGAAACTATGAGACCTTGGAAAAATAATTTATACTCCCTGAGTGTTAGTTTCCTCTTATGCAACATGGAGATAATTGTTTCTCATAGCCACGGAGACTCAGTGAAATAAAGTCTTTATCACTTAGCAAGGTTTCCGACCTATAATGTGTTCAAGAAACAATAGTTTTGGTTTTTTTTCACATTCTGGCAGCTATAAATTTTAGGTCTTAAAAATACTATCCACTAAGTCTTCTTAATTCTGGAATGTCTAAATGAAAGGTGAAAAACAAACAAATAAAGGCCTGTCAAGAATATATCTTATACTGGGCCAGCCCAGTGGCGCAGGAGTTAAGTTCACACTTTTCACTTCTTGGCGGCTCAGGGTTCACTGGTTTGGATCCTGGCTGCGGACATGGCACCGCTTGGCAAAAGCCATGCTGTGGCAGGCATCCCACATATAAAGCAGAGGAAGATGGGCATGGATGTTAGCTCAGGGCCAGTCTTCCTCAGCAAAAAGAGGAGGATTAGTAGTAGTTAGCTCAGGGCTAACCTTCCTCAACAACGAAATCTTATAAAACTATTCCATTTTGGACCTTATCAAGACAACATATTTTTGTGAACTCAATTTTTTTTCCATTTCTTTTCAGGCACTTTGAATTTTGCAGTATACAAGGTTATCGCAACAGAAATGCTTTTACAAAATTAAACTTAAGTCCCTATCTACATTCGAAGAGGGACACTGAAAAAATTACAAGTATATTGATTTTTCTATAAGAAATAAAATATCTGATTAGCTCACATTAATTATAAACAGCTCTTCTTCTCTTCCCCACCTTTTATCTTATACCTTATCTTTTACCTATGTCTGCATCTGTGCTTAGTCTCCTGAAAGAGTTCATCTTTCCCCTCCCCACTCCCACCCAGTTCCACCCAACGAATGAGCAGTTTACTCTTTTTTCTTGATTCCCAGTGGGGTCTGGCCTATTTAATGTAGGCACAATGGACATAAGTTCCAAAGGATCCCACTGACCCACGTATTATAGACAGCTTCTAATACAAAAGTCCATAGAGACAGCCTTTAGATTTTCAAATATCTGGTTTTAAGTTGAAAGCTGTGCACATTTGCTCTAGGAGGGCATAACAATGGCTCCCCAACATTGTTACTCTTTTCAATATAACCACACTTGAAAGGAATTCAGTTTCTTTAGCAAGAAAAGCATCCCAAGGACCCGCAGCCCTCAGTGTTCACATCTCAGAAAGACTCCGTGGGAGAAGAGCCGCTGTAGTTTCTTTTGAACATTCCACCCTTGCCTCTTAGCCCATCTGGATTAGATTGGGTGGAGGACAATCTTTGTAACTTGAGACCTGGGGTGAGACAGGACAAAAATCAGGGAGATTTATCACCTTCCCTTTATGAAACACCTTGGCAGCAAAGTGACCCAGTCCGTTAAGGAGCGTATATTGTATGCATAACAATTTAATGAGATCTTGGAGACTTTGGTCTCCAGTGAGCATTTCATGGGGAAATTTCTTTAATAGATGGCTTTTATGGGTAAATCTCTCCTTGAATCCCACTGAGAATTTGCAACATCTTTGAGAAGTGAATATGAACTCACAATCAGAATTTCCTCTAGCCAAGTACTATGGCTGGTAAGTAGAAAACTTTTCTTCATGAAGGGAATGTAATCTCTTCTTTAGGGAGAATGGGTGAAAATATCCATTCCTTGAGTCACCTATCTGCAAAGAAAAATTCATATTTAAAAAAATATGCACAGGGGCTGGTCCGGTGGCCCAGGGGTTAAGTTTGCACGTTCCGCTTCTCGGAGGCCCCGGGTTCACCGGTTGGCATCTCGGGTGTGGACATGGCACCTCTTGGCACGCCATGCTGTGGTAGGCATCCCATATATAAAGTAGAGGAAGATGAGCATGGATGTTAACTCAGGGCCAGGTTTCCTCAGTAAAAAAGAGGAGGACTGGCAGATGTTAGCTCAGGGCTAATCTTCCTCAAAAAAAAAAAGAAAATATGCACAGTATTGTATGAACTAATTACTACTTTCATTTTAAAAGATGCTGAAATGAAGATGCTCAATGAAAAGATTCACTGAGTGGTTAACCTAGGCATCTTTCATTCATTCATTCATTCAGTATATTATAAATAAATATATACGTATATATTGACTGAGTGTCTACGATGTGCCAGGTACTATTCTCGTGAGTTGAAAACATTTTTAAACAAAAGAAGTAAAAATAACCCCTGCATTTGTGAAGTGTCTGTTCCAGAGGTGATAGTAAATAAACAATGATCATAAAAACACATAAATAATAGAGTAATTTAGAAGTTAGGTGCAATAGGAAAAAAAAATTAGGGCATATAAGAGAGATCAAGAGTTCTGGGGTGAAGTGGGTGGGTTGTTTTAAACCAGGTGGGAAGTGTACACCCCTCTGAAAATCCAGCCATTGTACAAAGATTTGAAAGAGATGGGAGACAGCCATGCAGGCATTTGGCAGAAGAATATTTGAGCCAAGAGAACCAACTCAAAGACCTTAGGACAAAAGAACGCCTGATCAGTTCTGGGGACAGTCAAACAGCTCGCATGGCTGAACAGAGTGAATGAGGAGGAAAGCAGAAGGTCATGAGCTCATGCAGGTCAGTAAGGCCACAAGGACACTTAGGATTTTGGTTTTCACTCCAGGAAAGTGGGGAACTAATGAAGAGTTTGGGGCAGAGGAGCAATGTTGCTTGACTTATATTCTAAAAGAATCATCTGGGTGCACACATGGAATAGTGTCAAGTGCTGTATCTTCCAGGAAGCCCTCTCTGATACCAGCGTCTCACAGGGGCTGTCTCACCAGTGTGCTTCTAACACGTTCATGTATTCATCCAAACGTATTTACTCAACATCAGCACTCTTGTAGGAGCCAGAAATACAGAAACAAGTAATATTTTGTCATACTCAGCCTCCCTAACATTCAGAATCCCTCCCTATTTAGGAAATCCCCTTTATGTGGGCCTTTGGATGTGACACAGAGTCTCACTTTCCCCTCCGAAGAAAAGTTGTCAAATATGCTGTTTTGGTAACCAGAGAGGGAGTAACATTTATATTCTGTGACTCATGTGTGAAAAAGGGAAATCTCAATGGTCTCTAACTGGAACTCTGACCAAACTCAACCACCTGCTTAGAAAAGACAAATTATTCTACTTTACTCCATCTTAAGCATTCACTGTTTGCTTGTCTTTTCTTTTTTCTTTTTATTTTTTGAGGAAGATTAGCCCTGAGCTAACATCTGCCACCAATCCTCCTCTTTCTGCTGAGGAAGACTGGCCCTGAGCTAACATCTGTGCCCATGTTCCTCTACTTTATATGTGGGATGCCTGTCACAGCATGGCTTGACAAGCGATGTGTAGGTCTGCACCCAGGATCCCAACTGTCGAACCCTGGGCCGCCAAAGCAGAACATGCGAACTTGATTACTGCACCACCAGGCTGGCCCCCTGTTTGTTTTATTTCTGTTTTCATCAAATTCAAACATTATTATATAATTTACTGTCTGACCATTTTGAGTACATCTCTGGTTTTCAGTATTTCTTTCCCCTTTTCCTCAACTCCCTACGTCTCTCATTAAAATAGACCTACGATGAACTGAGAGGAAGAAACTTATGCTCTCAAATAGATCACACCTTGTGATGATTTGGGAAAAAGATCTCTGGTTCTAAATGGCCTTCATTTAAGGTGACTTGTGGAGTTCATTTTTCTGGGTGTAGGTCTCTGTCTGGTTGTCATCCTTGGCGATAGTTAGCCTGATTGGTCAACAGGTATTCTGCAATGGTATCAACTGAAGCGTGGCTAGCTCTGGTTGGTCTCATTGGCATGATGCTACACTTGATGATGATGATAATAATGATGATAGTCTCTGCCACTGCCTCAGACCTTAGGTGGATACCCAATCTGTATGTCTGTCCTGATGTCTTTAGTGTTCCAAGCACTTCTCTATCCCCCAAGGGCAGTAAGGAGATCTTGAGTGCTCTCTCCAGACCTGGCTACAATGTGTGGGACAATATGAGGCTCATCTCAAGTCCACCCTCTTAAGAACCTCTTTTAGGCATTGCTACTCTATTTTATCATGGTGCTATTTGCAGTGTTTCTAGTCTTCCAATCTTCTGGCTAAGCTCAGAGAATAGAGTGCTTACCTAATGTTTTCAGAATTCCCTAAGTCATTCCCTCTCTCCTCATACCCTCTGTCCCACCTATCTCTTCCTCTTCATAACATCTTTATGCTCTCCCCTCTCAGGTTTGAATATTAACATGTAAACCCAGCTATGGGAGTTCCTGGAAAACCCCTCTCTTTCTCTTCAAAACCAGTTTTTGTTTTATCCACTCCAGAAGCACTTGCTACGTCTCCTTGTGGACTTAGAAACTCAATTTGGAAGCTCAGTGCTAGGTTGTAGGCTCCACTTCTCCCTCCCAAAATAATCAATCAGTGGCTGGAGAACCCGCTGCAGGCAACCAGGAAAACCAAAATTTTCAAAAATGGTAGTGTCCATATACTAATAAAAACAATAAGAGCTCATCTTTATTGAGAGCCTCCTTTATACCCAGGTCTATGTATTTCCCAAACACTGCCTCATAACATTGTTCCTCTATTGAAAAATATCGGGGAGAACCTCCCCTTTCATGCCAGGCTCAGTGATTATACCACTCAAAAAACTTAGGCAGATTTTTTAAAAATGTAAAACCTCAAGTCCCGCCTATCAATATTTACTTTAAATAATAACAATAAAAAAGAATCCATTTGTTGAGTGTTTATTATTAGTGAGTATATTTTCACTAAATTTTTGTAATTTGTATACCAAAGCATATAATGTTTTGAATATAAAAAATATTTAAATAATGAATGATTTAACAAAAACTGAGGCTGAGAGGTATTACATCTGCCCAAGGTCGCCTGGCTAGGGAGTGTTGGAGGCAGCATGATGCCAAGCCTCTGCCTGCATCCTTTGGAAAGCCACGGTGCAGAAACATGGAAAATTAAAGGCTCTGAGAAGTCAGGTCAGAGGTAAAGATTCCTGCTTAACTGTGTTTAATAGTGTTCCCCACAAATGCCCTTGACTCTAGAATGGTAATATCAAGACAGTTTAGGGACTATAGGTAGTGCGTAAGTTTCTCCTGTGGCTCATGGTCACATGGGGGATGGGGAATAAAGACAATGAAGCGATGGTGAATCAGTGCTGGACCAATATCAAGAGGACAGCGGGAGAGCCATTCACTCAGCAAGCGTTTGCAGAGTGCAATGTGTCGGCTATTCTTCTAAGCACCAGATACAGAAAAATGGGCAAGACACCCTCTCCATCCTCAAGAAGCTCTGAGTCAAGTGTTCTCTATTCCCATTAGAGCAGTTGATTCTCAAACTTCAACAGGGGCTTGTTAAAACACAGGTCGCTGAGTCCCACCACCAGAATTCTGATTCAGTAGGGCTGGGGTGGTGCCAGAGAATTTGCATCGCTAACAAGCTCCCAGGTGATGCTGACGCTACAGGTCTCAGGAGCACCCTTGGAGAATGATTCTCTTAGTCAGCTACTCACTGCTTCAGGATCCCGGAAACTACTTTCTGTCAATTCCCACCGTTTCCAGAAAAAGAGTAGCTTGAAATCTTAATCTTATTGCTGCCTCTGTGCCCATGGCAGTACAACAAAAGCCACAATTATTTGTCTATCTGGGCCATAGATATGCTGAGCATATTACCTTTATCACCGTCTTTTTACCCTCACAATGAATCATTGATAGATTTGTGGATAAGAAATTAGTGCCCGACTTGAGAGACTCAGAGAGGTCAGGGGTTGACTAAGCACACAGAGCTGGCCGGGTGCAGAGCTGGGATTCAAACCTGTCCCTGTTATTGCAAAGATTCTCTGTTTTTCATTCTGCTTTACTGCTGAGACCAGTTCCACTTGATGGTGATGGTTGGGAGGCAGGGGCCTGTGAGACAAGTGGCTTATTAAGCATCAGGAAGTCTTAATAAATAATTGATTAAATTTTTTTTCCTCCTTTCTTCCTGCTCATGGGGAAAGCACCTCATCTGTTAAAAGCCTGTGGCTCAGACAGCACTAACAGGCAAAGAAAGGCTGCCCTCTGCTTCCCTGGAGCCTGGAAAGTGCTCCTTCTAACACCTGAGTTGCTTCTGGAATTCAGCTTTCAGCTCCACCCCCCACCCCTGCACCTCACATCAGAAGTGGCGGTGAAAAGCCACGAAGACAGCATCCCAGCGGCTGCGGGAAGGACTGTATGTCAGCAGCACCACCAGCAGGAGAGCAGGAACACGGACCTCCTTCTGTGCTTCCTGCCTAATCCGCATCCTGCGCCGGTTGTCATGGTGACAAGGGCAATGCTGGTGCAGGTGCCTTATTGTGACTGAGACATGTGTGACTCAAATGATGAGGGGAATTAAAGAGGGTCTGCAGCCGGCCCTGAAGCTCCAGCAGGAGCGCTGTGAGTCCCGCAGTGCTCAAAGCAGTGGTCAGAGAATTGAGAAGACTGAGGGAGTGCAGGAATCCAAGACAAGACTAGAGAGAACCCCACCTGCACCCTCACCCCACGTGGCTTTGTCTGGTGAGAAGCTTAAAGAGACATGGTTTGGAGGTGCAGCCCCCCAGGGTTGTCGTTGTTGATTAGAAAATATGCTTTCCCAACCTCAGGAGAAGTGTATATGTTATTCTTCTCATCTCTCTCTTACTCTCCTACCAGCTCTTCCGCTTAAAGGAAAAATACAGGAGTAAGTATAGGGCAGAACCAAATTCACGCAGTCTTGCTCTGTGAATCAAAGTGAAGTGGCAAGAAATAGGGAAACGACTCTAAAACAGCAAGCATGTTTTCAAATGTGTGGTTGGGTTTTTTTCCTTGAAAACCAGTTTTCTGTTTTTCAAGTATTGGCGAGTTATCATCTCAGTTGGATTTCAGGGTGGTTTGCAGGAGTAAGGGAACCCAGAGTTATAAAGTTGAGTGTTACCTGACTTTTGTATCCTACCAGGAGCTGCTCCCGTGCAGCCCTCTTCCACACGGGGTCCACTGACCGCCTCTCACTATTCTCTGATCTGTCTCTTCTCTCCAACTGTATCAATGGGAGCACCATTAAGACCTGGCCCCATAGGGGGCCACCCTAGTGGCTGAGCGGTTAAGTTCACATGTTGCACTTTGGTGGTCCAGGGTTTGCTGGTTCAGATCCTGGGCACAGACCTAGCACTGCTCATCAGGCCATGCTGTGGGGGCATTCCACATAGAAGAACTGGAATGAATTACACCTAGGATATACTACTATGTATTTGGGCTTTGGGGAGTAAAAAAAAAAAAAAAAGACCTAGCCTGATGAAAGGAAAAGGAAAAGAGAACCACAAAATACTGAGCACGATTAGTGTTCTAGGTGTTTGATGAACATTTTCCCATTAAATCCAGACAATATAGCACTTGGTGGTAAGTGCAACCATCTCCATTTCACAGATAAAGGTATTAGATTTCAAAGATCCCAGGCAAAGTGCCCCAAATCAGAGACAGAACATAAACTCATATTTTGGTCTTTATTGTCACCAAACTTCCATTTTTATTCCTACTACACTGTCACATCACACTGTCCCTCAAAAAGAAGAAAGAAAAGGGAGCCATCCTAGTGGCTAGTGGTCAAGTTCGCATGCTCTGCTTCGGCATCCTGGGGTTTGCAGGTTTGGATCCTGGGTGAGGACTGTTCATCAAGCCAAGCTGTGGCAGTGTCTCACATAAAATAGAGGAATGTTGGCACAGATATTAGTTCAGCAACAATCTTCCTCAAGCAAAAAGAGGAAGATAGACAACAGATGTTAGCTCAGGGACTATCTTCCTCAGAAAAAGCTCTCTTCTCACCTCTGGTAGTTTTGATATTTAATTGGCAAGAGCTAGAATCTTCCTATTTTTTGATGCTATGTCCCAGGACTCTTATTCCAATCTTTATGATGAATAATAACCAATATTTGTTGAATGAATTTACTATGTCCATTTCACAACGCTAAGGCATAGGGAATATGTTAAAGATTTTTATTTATATTAAAGATGTGCAAATTTAGGCTTAAGGACAATATTTGCCCAAGGTGCCACAGTTTACGTAGGTCTGAGTCAGAATCTGCACTGTTTCCAGAGCAGAGGACATACCCACTATGCTATTGCCATGAAGCACATGTCTTATAAGCTATCTGGGTGGAGGGGAAAAAAGGGAATGAGATTTTTTACTTTTTTCTCTTGGTTCCTGTGAAAATAAAGCTAACCCACGTGGGTTTAGGGCTTAAGCAAGGGCATTTCAAGAAATGTAAGAGCTCTTTTCATGTTATCGGTTGTGGGTTGTTTTGTTTGAATTCTGGAATGTCCCCAGTGCCTATTGTTTTCGGTTGGATACTTAGGCATGGGCAACCTAAGTCTGCAATCGAAATGACTTTCACAAAAGCTTTCCTTCCAGGATGTGCTCGATAGACATCACTGCACTTAATATTCATTTCAGGCTAATTAGCTACAGCAAGGGTCCCATGAGCACCGAGAGCCAGGAGAAGGGACAATTCAGGACATCTTTGTCTAATTTCTGTTTAAATGCTAATAGCTTTGAGATTATTCTATTAACAGGCAGTATCAAAAAAGGAATAAAAGGGTCTGTTTCATTTAATAAAGGGATCACCAAATGGATTGGAATGTTTGTAACAGCCTGAGTAATTATCTATTCATTGAGGTCAGACTACTGTGTGCATTTGGAAAACGTAACTAACAAGAGTAATCTGACTTTCGTACAGACTGCAACGGGCTTCATTACCAAACAACCCTTGATTCCCGCACTTCTACAAGGCTGGTAGAAAACAGATCATTTCTACAACAGATACAGAAGATTCTGTTCCTTGGAGCCCCAGAACTCCAAGTCAAACATTTATAACGTGATAAATAAAAGCCATGTTCTAATACAACGCATGTGGTTACATCAACAATGCGTTTGGACAAGCAGGAAAAGGAGGCTGGGGCTGGACACTAAAGATCATCTCAAATATCAGAAAGACTTGTATTCAAATCCTAGTTTCTCCTTAGTAACCGCAAATACACTCACCCTAGGTTGCAAGAATTTTGCAGTTCCACAGCCCTCCACTATTTATTAGAATATTAGTTAGGTAAGTTATCTCACTGTACTAAGTCTTTGCTTTCTCACTTGTAAAATAAGGATAATCATAATATCAAGCTCACAAAAGTTGTCGCAAGGATTTAATGAGATAATATATGTAAAAATAGACTAGACCATAGTAAACGTCCAATAGACAGTCATAATTGTTACCTGGATCAGCTACAGAGGCTGGCTCTGTCAAAGACAGCTGAAAGGGCCAAGGGCAAGGTGATTAGCTTAAGATTTTAGGCACTTATTATTCAAGAAGGATCCACCCACTGGGCAGGTAGTGCCAAAGGAGATGGATTATGCTCTTGTTAGGTGAGTGGTAACATCAGTCTATTCTTAGGGCTTTGATTTTTGGCTTTCATGGAGATTAAGAAGATGGTCCAGCCATCTGGGGAGGGAGCTGGCGAAAGCTCAGCTGAGTGTCTGTGTTCCGGTTGAAGAGCCGGAGGTTCAGTCAAGGGCTACAGTTCTAATAACGGTTGCTGCATGCTCCGCCTTGGCCAGGATTGGCTGCTGAATCACCAGAAGAACTTCTGAAAAATGCAGATGCTGAGTCCTAAGCCAGATCTGCTGAGTCAGAATCTCCAAGGGATAATGCCAGGGACTATGACTTTCCTAAAATTTCTTCAGGCCACCAGGACACATTCTGTGGGCTAAGGTGTGGAAACCAATGAGCTAAGGAAGTGGGAGAGACTGAGCCGGCTGCACTAAAATGTCACATTGGTGAGATGGATCTTTCTGGATACATTCTACAAGTCCGCTTGCACTCATGTCTCCTAAGGATGTGTCTGAGGGCTGTTAACATTCACTTCACAAAACACCAAGTGCTTATGTGTCTTATTTCTTCTTTCCTCCGCTAATAAGCCCAAAGAAAATGCAAAATAAGAAACGGTTCTTAAGGTGAAACTTTGATATCCCGTCAGGCCTCCTTTACCGTGACTCATCTCTGGGCTACAAGTTGGGGAAGAGAAGTAATGTAGGAGAGCTTTTAGACGGATACGTAAAACACCTAGTTATCATGACCAGCAACTTAGGTAGGACTGTTCGACTTCCACTGCAAACGGCCACTGCAGCATACTGATAAAGCAAGAATCAGGTTGAAATTTATTTTAGATGCTTCCTCAAAGTGACTTCAGAAGGTAGAAAGTAAATATATCCAGGAGTGGAACTGCGGGGTCGTAAATCAGGTATATGTTTAGCTCAGGAAAATACTGCCCAAAGGTTTTCTGAAACAATGGAACCAATTTACACTCCCTCCAGCTCATATGAGTGTCCAATTCTTCCACATCCACACCAAGATATGGACTTTTCAGTCCTCATAATTTTAGCCATTCTGATGCGTGTTTAGTGGAGTCTCATTGTGCTTTAATTTGAATTCCCCTGGTCTATAATCATTTCACATGAAATGCCCAGTAGAGGATTTTACCCATAACGCATGAATTTCATTCCTAAGTATATACCCAAGAGAAATGAATACATGTGTCCACCAAAAGGCATATATAAGCAGCTTTGTTTGTAACATCCATAAACTGGTACAATCCGAGTACCCATCAACAGGAGAACAGATAAATAAATCAGAATACTATTTATACAATGCAATAGAACAGAAAGAAACATAAAAACTACTAAACATGCAACATCATGGATGAATCTCAGATATTATATTGAAGGATAAAAATGCCAGATGTAAATGGGTATGTACTGTAAAATTCCATTTATATAAAGTTCACAAACATAACGGACAGCAACAGAAGTTGGAATAGTAGTTGGCTCTGGTGGTGGGAATGCAGTCGGTGCAGCCTTCAAGGGTGCATGTCTCAGAAGGCTTCACACTCAGGAAGCCCCTGCGCTTAGATTAATGCTCTGCTCTCACCACCTTGAAATTCTTAATACGTTTTGAAAAAGGAGCCCCACATTTTCATTTTGGACTGTGAGCAGCAAATTATGCAGCTGGTCCTTGGTGTAATCGACTAGAAAAAGGCACAAGGGAACTTCCCGGGTACTGGAAATATTCCACATCTTGATTGGACTGGTAGTTATGCTGGTGTATGTATACGTTAAAACCCATTGAGCTATACATACAAGATTTGTGCACTTTACTGTATATAAGTTAAAACTGAATAAATTAAAGTTTAGCAAAAATGTGAAAGAATAAGTAGAACATATAGCAATGGGAAGGACACTCTTACCAGAATTGCCAGAGGCTCTCCTGCATAACCCGGTGAGGATGCTAACCGTAAGCGACTCCAGCTGTAAGAAAGAACAGGCAAATGATGAATGTTAACACCCACTCAGTATATACTGAGTATCTACTATGTGTTAGGCACCGTGGACATCACTTTACATGTGCTGAATCGTTAAATCTTCACAGGCATCTTGTAAGATAGATAGCTTTAGCCTCAGTTTATAGATAAGGAAACGGAAATCAGAGCGGTCAAGCAACTTGTCTAATGATAGACAGCATGTGAGCGGCCAAATGGAATTTCAAACCCAGATCCATCTGCCTCACAAACACGTCCTTTCCACACTATTATGCCATCTCAACTTGCAAAAATCTCCTAGTCATGTATTTGGGGAGACAAAATAGCTGACCACATTCCAAAAATATTTCAATATGACATAACTATTCGGAGGCTGGATGCGATGTGGAGAAATCCTTTTGCTGCCCTTGCAGGCACGCTGCACCCTCCCAGGGCATGAGATTCGATTTTACCCCGTGAACATAACTGCCAGTATTAGTCCTGGAAATACAATTACCCATCTCAAGTATTTGACTCAAGGCCTCGGTTCAGCCTCCGATTCTACAGCTTGACAATGGGCCGTAAGAAATAAGCATTGTTATGTGACCTTCAAAACATGACAGATGAGTAGCAAAATAAATGATTCATTTAATGAGTTTAGATATACAGGGCCTTCTCCTGCTTCAGCACTGAGGTCTTATTTATGGGCTGGTCTTAACTGAGTTTCTTTGTGTGGAAGCTTTGAAAAGCCATTATGGTCAAAACCTTTCACAGGATTTATTATTAGAACGCTTTGAAAATTTCTATGTAGAAAACAGAAGAAGGGAAACTGTTATGTCTGTTGTGTGAATGCAAAAAAAAAAAATCCACTTAAATAGGTTTCTGAATGCTTGACACTGAGGAAATGGCAAAAATGGTAAAAAGGCTGTACTTAATCTGGTTTAAAAATATATGCTTATGTAGGGTTTCATGAAGCCTTTACATTTTTTTCCAGTGGATTCCTCAAGAAACATGTATCGAGCATCTTCATATACATGTCAGTGTGCTAGAGATTTTTAAGCATATCAATTTGATGAGACATACACTTGACGCTCTGTAAGGTAAGAGTAGAGTAGATAATATATATAACATGTGTTCTATATGTCATAGTACAAAAGATGACGGAATAAAGTATTGTAGCATGAAGAGAAGGGATGATGAGAGGAGCGAGCCCATACCCCTTTATGTTTCTCAGGAAAAATTAACAATTGCCAGAAACATAACAAAGTTGTCAACATACTATGAAATTAGCTATGTGATCAGTGTGTTTCCTATTACTTTTTGTTTTCCTCCAGGCAGTCTTAGAAACTATCCATCTTAATCCTTTAGCCATGTCTCCTTCTCAATCTCTGTCGCTATCTCATTGTGCTTCTTCCTTCTCTTTCCTCACCTGGATCAGAATTCTTGGGAGTGATTAAGGAGGAGATACCCAGAAGGGTGTGAAACAACTGTGTCCTAGCTTGAGACCTGAGACAGCGGCACATGTGCCTTTTCCAAATATTTCAGTCTCTCTTTGGATAACAGAAGCGTGAAAATGTCCTGTAATCCACGCAATATCAGACAGAAATGTTTTGGGAATCTAAGGCAACATCATGGCACTGACCAAATCAGCTGGCTATTGGTTTAAGTTCAGATCCTAAACAGGGAAAGCGCCTTCCCAACAAAGGCACTTAAAAAAGTCCCATCACCTTTTCACCATGAGAAGAAAAGACACAGTAGGCTCAGGCCATAAAAGAAAGAGAGAGGTGGTGGGGGTAGGAGGAGGAACAGAGGGAGAAAGAGAGAGAGAGAAGAAAGGCAGTATTGCGTGGTGTTCATTCTCAGATTTAAACAGGAAATATTGAACCATCTTGGTTTAACAGTTAGGCTCTCAAGTTAGAAGTGGATATAGTATGGGCATAGAATGGATATAGAAATGGACACGGTAATAGCTAACATTCATTAGGCTCTTATGATGTACCAGGCATCATTCCAAGCTCTTCAGGTTTTAACTCATTTACTGCTCATTACAATCCTGGGAGGTGGTACTATATTCATGGCCACTTTAAAAGTGTGGGAAATGAGGCAAAGATTGCTTAAGTAAAATGTCCAGTCACATCATATGCTCGTAAGTGAGGAAGCTGAAATTCAAACCCAGGCAGACTGGCTCCAGAGCCCTCACTCTGAAGCACCATGCTATATTACACAGGGCGATAAAACTATGGGACACAGAAAGGAGAACCTAGGGTGGACAAGAAGGCTCTCTACTGCCTCGGTGAGCCAGTTTCATCTCTGTCCTCACTGCATCACCCGCTTACCGCCACTACTTAGGGATACCATGACTACTGAAGTTGGAATGAGGTGGGAATCGTGTCTCTGGAAATGGTCCAATTTTAGATAAGAAAAGTGAGGCTGGAGAAATCAAGAGAGTCTTCCTAATACACATGATTAGGAACAGAACCTAGATACTCTAAACTCTAAGACTTATGTGCTTTCTATACAACCACATCTAATTTATATGCCTGATTCTAATGCTTCCTTCATCTCCATCCTCCCACTATCTCCCAGCCACATGACCTGACATTGCACATCCACAAGCCCACTAAAATCCAGAGATAGAATCTTTGAACGTTAGAGGAGAAATGTCCATGTGTATGATCCAAACCACTCTTCGTTCCCCAGACTTGTTTTACATAGATGAGAAGGATGAGGCCTACAAAAGCAAAAGGTGTGTCACAAGTTCATTTATATATGGTAGCTAATCGGGAGTTCATCTCTTCCACTTCCTCCTTCAATTTCCCTCTTGTATAATACATTGTCCAAAATATTCACTTTTATATGTAATAAACTGTTTATCAGCAAATGACAGGTAGTAGAGGATATGTGGATAATCCTCTACCTTAAATTTTCACATAGAATGCTCAAAAAGACTCAGAAAAACATATTATGCTTGTTTTTCTAATTCAGGGTCATTAAAATCCCGTACTAATGACTCCAAATTCAGTATTGTTTCCACTCTGCCACAGCCACCTCTCTACTTTTTAGTACCACAGAGGGGAAGTAATCTCGATTAGATTTATTGGCTTTAGATTTATTGCCATTCAATATCTATTAGCTACCAACCACATGGCAGTGATATGTTCCTCAAGATTCACACTGCATTTACTCAATATGCACTGAGTACTTGCTGTGTGTCTGGTATACTATACACATGCACGTAGAGAGAAATGTATACCTTTATAATATTTAGTTAAGAAATGCAAATATATCTCTTTATATGCCCATTTCACGTTATACGATCCCTTTATTTAAAACTGCTGCACAAAATTAATACATAAAAAGCCTTTATTTGAAATAGCTAGGATAAAATATTGATGACACTGAGAAATGTTAGACAAATTCGTCCAACTTTATAACCTCTTATATAGCCCTCAAAGTTTTGCTTACTTAGACAATAGTTACTAGGGTCAATTTCCTATCTTGTTTTTACTTGTTATTCAAGACCAAAAGACATTGAAATCAGATTGGGTTTCCCTGTGAGCTGTGAAAAGCAACAAATGGGTGGAAAGTACTGCAGGAAGTTGCTCCAGATCTGAAAACTGGCAGAAAAGAAGCCTAAAACCTTCACCACCAGACTCCACCACAGAAGAGCTTGAAGCGGGTGGTAGGGCGGGTCAGAGAGCAGAGAAGCAATCCTTCCTGAATTTCAGGGAAACTAATTATGAAACTGGTATTCAGGAAAAACATAACCAGCTAACAACAAAGGCAGCAAACAAATCCAAACCAACCCAAAATATGTCAAGCATGGGCCTATTTTAGCATCATTTGGCTCTGTCCTTGAGATAATAACAAATGATTGTTTTACACTTAAGGGCACTTGACATACTCCAGGCTATAAATATAAATACAAATGCTCCTTCTTGAATAGTGCTTGGTAAATTAAAAAGGTCATTTTCTTTCACCAGTATGATAAAAATGGTCTATGGTATCCTACACTACTTTTATTAATTACCATTTAATAATAGCCCAGCACACAAGCACCATAGAGCCCTCCATATAAACCCAGTATTATGCTGGATACTTGGCGAGTATTCTCCTGCTTAATCCTCACAGAAGCTCTGTGAGATGAGTCCTATTAGGACCTCAGTTTTAGCAATGAATAAAGAGGAAACAGGGTTTAAGTAACTTTCGTAACTAGTTGCACAACTGACTAGTGTCAAATGAAGTAATAAACCAAAGTCGATTTCATGCCAAAGGCAGGGCCTGTAATCACCAGACATACTGCCTAGAGAAAACCGAATTCGAAAAAGAAACTTACAAATGCAGATTTCAATTAAATACACACAATATAGAAAGCTGCCATAAAAGACAATTTCTAGCCGTTTGGAAGAGATTCTGTGTTCTGCCTCTGCTCTGAGTTTTAAGGAAGAGAGAAATCCCTTCCTCCCTTCTCAGCCATTGGACTATTGGCCCTGCCCTTAAACCTGGTGGTTGTACTTACTCTTCAAAGCACCAGGTTTGACCCTTGGGGGATTATAAAAGAGAAGCTGACCCCAAATAATCTCCACTCTGGTGGCATTTGAGGGACCCAATTTAAGTGGATTGAGGTGTCAAAATTCATCAGAACAATTCTCCTCAGGAAAGCCTTTAAATGTCAATTTATCTTTGCAGTGAGAGTACCTTGGAGCAAAAACTGAGAACATATCCCGTACAATAACCTCCCTTAACCAAGAGCTCCTCTGAACCACTGTTATTGCCTCCTCGTTTCACAGGCACTAAAGAGCAAAGTTAATTCTGCAGTTGGTGAGCCTGCTGTCTCCCTCTCTGAAGATACTCAGCCTGTATTAGTGCGCTAGCACTGCCTTAACAAAGTACCACAAACTGGGCGTCTTAAACAACAAAACTTGAATTTCTCACAACACTTGAGGCTGGAAGGTGTTAGCAGAATAGACTTCTTCTAAGGCTTATATCCTTGCCTTGTAGATAACCATCTTCTCCTTGTGTCTTCACACGGTCTTCCTTCTCTGCGTGTTTGTGTCCTACTCGCCTCTTATAAAGACACCAGTCATTTTGGAATAGAGTCCATCCATGTGACTTCATTTTGCGTTAATTATCTCTTTAAAGGGCCCATCTCCAAATTCAGTCACATTCTCAGGTACTAGGGGTTAGGACTCCAACATATGAATTTGAGGGACAACACAATTCAGCACATAACACAGCCCAGTTGAAATAATCCCTGTTTGGTATTGTTCTACCATAGTGCCTCTGCAAATTTCAGTTCTTACTTAACAGCCTATTCTTGCCATTCAATAGTCCTGCTGCCCAATCCCCAATCCCAATCCTGCCCTAGAATAGAGTGATGAAGCCCAGTGCAGTTTTGTAATCCTAGGCTATGGAGACTGGGCCAGGGATTAGCACATGTTCCGAGAAATAAAATGAAATGCAACATAATTTTTTCTGGTAGAACAAAGCATCTTATTCTTGTCTCTTGAAGAGAAATCTAGAATGATGCAACCTAGTGGCCCAGTAGGAGCCATCGTATAGCCAGGAAAAGAAAATCTGAAAATAAGTCAAATTAAATTGGAGAACAGCTGACCTGAAAGACTGAGAGAACAGCGTGTTGATGACACTTTTTGAGACTCTGGATCAAGCTGTGCCTGAAGTCAAAATTACACCCAAACTTTCCCGTCACAATAATACTCCTTTTGCTTTAGCCATTTGGAGTCTGGCTACCTGTAATTCTCAACAGAAAGAATCCTAACTGAAACAACAGTCTCATATGGAGGAAAAGGAGGAGTGAAGCTCAGGAACAGGCTGCAAGAATAAATTAGGGAAGTTTCCTTATGCTTTCATCTGTTTTCTCTACAAGGCATTTGTGTTAAGTTTCTAAAAGTCAAGATCACTTACCTAATTAATTCCACAAGTATCTACAAAATGTCTCCTAGAAGCAGGTATCATGCTATAGCATGCATTCTCAACAGGGGTGATGGTGCCCCAAAAGGGATGAAAATTGGTTCTTCTGGGGGTGGAAAAATCTTACTCATTTTTATGTTTAAAACACAGATATGCATACAGTACATTAACAGATATAGAGCATATTGGTGGTATTACAATTTAATGGGGCAAAGGGGACAATTGGGGGAAAATCTGTCCATAAAAGCCTCTTACGAGGACAATAATAATAATTTAAAAAATGATTGAGAAACACTGTGCTAAAGGAAGTTTGGAGAAATGCAGATACAAATAAACGTGCGTGCAACGGGCACTGTGATAGAGAAACATAAAGGTACGATAAAGACCAAGAGAGGAGCCATTTTCAATCCTACAGGGGCAGAGGACTGAATGAAGAGTCAAAATAATAATGTAGAAAATGTTGCTTTACCTTATTCTGAAAGCTAAGAGATTGAGTAGAAAAAGCCGATCCTAGTCCAAGAGGCTGTGTAAGCAAAAGCATGGAAGCCTGAAGGGATATAGCTGGTTATGATTGGAGTTTAGGCTATAAAAGGGAAGGCAGGCATATCAGGAAGGAATAGCTTACTAACAGTGGATTAAACATATAAGGTTTTTTCTTCTCAAAAAGAATTCTGGAGGTAGAAAGCTTCTGGCTTCCATTTAGTAGGTCTAAGCCGTCAAGGTTGGCATTTCTGAAATTCTCTTTGCCTTTTCCTCCGTGTTTGTCACCCCATCAATTCTAGGTTTCAGGGGCACCTCTAGATACTCATGTTTAAGGCAGGAAAATGGAGAAATTACATTTGTTTTGTACAGCAATAAGCTTTTATCAGGAAAGTAAAAGCTTCCCCAGAATACCATCCTGTTGCTTACTCTCTTGACTCATCGGCCAGATGTGGGTCACTTGGCCATTCCCAAGCACAAAGGAGACAGGGAAAACGCAAAACAGAATTGTCATAACTTGTTTAGACTAAGTATTCCAACACCTGGATACAGGCAAGTTGCTGCTGCAAATTTAATCTCAGTACTGTTGGAAAGAAATATGTGGGGAATAGAGTTTTAGGCTAAGGAAGAAATGATCAAAGATTAAGTTATTATTTAGTTCTCTGTAGCTAAGACTAGGCATAGAATGAAATTCCAATGTACTTTAGAAATTATTATAGAGGTGACAAAATTATTGGTGACTTTTTTATTCTTCTTCATATTTCCAAGTTTTCTATAGTGAATATGTATTAGCCATACAATCAAGAAAAAGCAAAGATTAATATATTTTAAAAGGAACAGTTCCCAATAAAATTATTGCCTGGGGAAGAGAACTAGACCATTTTAAGAGGTAAACTGGTAGAAATATTAAGTATAGTGTATTTAGAAAATTGGACTATAACTCATAGAAAATATGGAAGAAAATTAGTGAGGCTCAGGAAGAGGGAAACATTCAGTGGTTTTCTGAATCAACTCATATCACTTCTTAAGAGCTGACTGCTAAATTTTTTGGAATTTTGCAAGTTAGTTTTTAAGCATACCTGTTATTAAACATTAAATTATATAAACACAGTCAAATAAATAAAGGCAACTCAAAATAATCACTTCCTAATTACCTTACTATGTTTTTCTATTATCTATGTTCTTGAGGTTATGTCCCTTGTATTTGTATGGTGGAAATACCAGATGATGGTGTGCTGCTGAGAGCCTCTTCCCAACTCCACTTTCGGTGACATCAAACTGGCTTCTTGAAATAGGCCACCTCGTGGGTATTTACAACATGGAGATTGGCAGACGCTACAAATCAGAGCTTGCTACATTGTTTTGTTGATTGTCTTTACTTAAGTGATGGAAAATGTTCCTAATAAAAATTAAACTTAAATTGTGTCTGGTCTATAAACAATAAGTTTTAAATAGCGCAAAATTTTGTGAAAGCATTTTTCTATCAGCATTATCACAACAATCACCATCTAACTCTTAAAACCTCTTCCCTTCTCCTCTCTGAAAATATTTATTGATTCTTAAAAAACTGAACATGCAACTACCATACGATTGCACTCCTGGGTGTTTATCCCAGAGAAATGAAAATTTATATTCACGTAACAACCTGTACATGAACATTTATAACAGCTTTAGTTGTAAAGCCCAAATCTGTAAATAACGTTGGCATCCTTTAGTGGAAGAATAGTTAAACAAACAGCGATAAATCCATACCGTGGAATATTATTCAGTAATAAAAATGCAGAAATTATTGATACATACAACAACCTAGATGAATGTCCAGAGAATTATGCTGAGTGAAAAAATCCAATCCCAAAGGTTACATACTGCATAATTCTGTTTACATAACATTCTTGAGATGAGAACATTATAGAAATGCAAACAAATTAACAGTGAGTGAGTGAGTGGGGTTGGGGGAAAGTGGGTGTAGCTATAAAAGGAGAATGTTTTGGATCGCTGTAGTGACATAAGTATTCTGTATCTTGACTGTATCAATATTGATATCCTGGTCATGATATTGTACTGTAGATTGCAAGATATTATCATTGGTGGAAACTGGATAAAAGGTACGTGAGTTCTCTCTCTGTCATTACTTATGACTGCATGTGAATCTACAATTATCTCAAAATAAAAAGTTTAATGAAAACATAGAAAAAATATCCCAATAGTTTATCTATTGCATAACAAATAAATTACAAGTTGAAAAAAAAAGGAAGCGTTCTTAATCCCCCTTCTGCCTCTCTATCTGTTCTTCTCACTCTGTTCTTAGCTCCTCTTTTCTTATTACACATATTCCTCTTTGATTATATTATCTGTTCTCACAGATTCAATGACCATCTATATGATAAAGTTTCTCAAACATGTACTCTCTCCTCTCTTGAAACTCTGAACTCAGCTTACCTCCTTGGATGTGATGTAGGCATTACACACTGAGCATGTCCAAAATTTAGCGTGGCAGCAATTCAGGGGAGAAGCGTTAGTCTTTTCAATAAACTGTGCTTAAGTAATTGGATATCCACATGCAGGAAAGGAAGAAGAAAGAAGGAAGGAAGGAGGATGGAAGGAAGAAGAAACTCTATCCATACCTCTTAATTTATGCAAAAATTAACTTAAATGGGTCATTAACTTAAACATAGTACCTAAAACTGCAAAGCTTCTAGAATAGAATATAAGCAAATTTTTTTGTTACTTTGGGTTATGTGAAAATTTCTAGGATACAGCATGAAACACATGGTCCAGAAAGGACAAATGACGTTGGTCTTCATCAACATTAAAACTTTAAAAACTCCCACTGTACGAAACACTGATGAGAGAATAAAAAGATAAGCCATAGACTGGGAGAAAATATTTGTAAACATATATATGATTAATGATATAAATATACATTACCATATATACATATAGTTACATATTATATGTAGATTTATATTGTATTATATATAGTATAAAGAAATCTCAAAACTCAAGAAATCAACCAACCAATAAACAACTGGGCAGAAACATCAGAGAAGATGTATGCATGACAAATAAGCTCAAGAAAAGATGCTCAACATCATTAATCATTAGGGAAACAAAAATTTAAACCACCATGAGATATAATTATAAACCTATCAGAAAGACTAATGTCCAAAACATTACCATACCAAGTGTTGGCAAGGATGTAGAGATAAGAGAACTCATATATTACTGGTAGTCATATGGAATGGTACAACTACTTTGAAAAACAGTTTGGTAGTTTCTTTAAAAATCAAACATATATCTATTTATATAAGCTAGCCATTCTACTCCTAGGTATTTGCCTAAGGTGAAACTTAAATTGTTGATTCTATATCTTTCCTCTTTTCTAATATGTGCATTCAATGCTATACATTTCCCTCTACATATGCCTTTACCTCATCTCACAGATTTTTTTTTCTTTAGTTTTACACAATTTATTCCTGGATTAGAATAGGTAATGTGCACATTGTGCCTCCTTTCATTTACAATTTTAAAAGATTAAGGAAAAACAAAATATTAATAGTTTACATTATTATTTCATTAATGCTGAAGCAGTGGTGGGATAGCTGAATCATACGGTGTCTCCATTTTTTATTTTTTTGAGAAACCTCCATACTGTTTTCCGTACTGGCTGCACCAGTTAGCATTTCCACCAGCAGTGTATGAGGGTTCCTTTTTCTCCACATCCTCTCCAACATTTGTTATTTCGTGTCGTTAATTATAGCCATTCCAATGGGTGTAAGGTGATATCCCATCATAGTTTTGATTTCCATTTCCTTAATAATTATTGATGTTGAACACCTTTTCATGTGCCTGTGACCATCTGTATATTTCTTTGGAAAAACGTCTGTTCACATTCTCTGCCTATTTTTTGATTTTTCTGTTGTTGTTGAGTTGAGTTGTATGAGTTCTTCATATATTTTGGAAATTAACCCTTTGTCAGATATATGATTTGAAAATATTTTCTCCCAGATGGTGGGTTGTCTTTTCATTTTGTTCACACTTTCCTTTACCTTGCAGAAGTTTTTTAGTCTGATGAAGTCCCATTTGTTTACTTTTTCTTTTGTTTCCCTTGCCTGAGTAGACATGGTATTTGAAAAGATACTGCTAAGACTAATGTCCAAGAGTGTACTGTCTATATTTTCTTCTAGGAGTTTTACGGTTTCAGGTCTTACTTTCAAGTCTTTAATCCATTTTGAGTTAATTTCTGTGTGTGGTGTAAAGCAATGGTCTACTTTCATTCTTTTGCATGTGCCTGTCCAGTTTTCTCTACACCATTTATTGAGGAGGCATTCCTTTCTTCATTGTATGTTCTTGGCTCCTTTGTCAAAGATTAGTTGTCCATAGATGTGTGGTTTTATTTCTGGGCTTTCAATTCTGTTCCATTTTTCCGTGTGTTTGTTTTTGTGCTAGTACCACCTTGTTTTGATTACTACGGCTTTGTAGCATATTTTGAAGTCAGGGATAATGTAACTTCCAGCTTTGTTCTCTTTTCTCAGGATTGCTTTGGTTATTTTGGGTCTTTTGTTGTTCCATATAAATTTTAGAATTCTTTGTTCTATTTCTGTGGAGAATGGCATTGGGATTCTGATTGGGATTGCACAGAGTCTATAGATTGCTGTAGGTAACATGGGCATTTTAACTATGTTTTTATTCTTCCAATCCATGTGCATGGAATATCTTTCCATTTCTTTATGTCTTCTTTGATTTCTTTCAATAATTTCTTATTGTTTTCAGTGTACAGATTTTTCACCTCCTTGGTTAAATTTATTCCTAGATATTTTATTCTTTTTTCTGCAATTTTAAATGAGATTGTGGTCTTGACCTCTCTTTCTGCTAGTTCATTATTAGTGTATAGAAATACAGCTGACTTTTGTATGTTGATTTTGTACCCTGCAACTTTGCTGTAGTGAAGACATGGAAGCAACCCAAGTGCTCATCAATGGATGAATGGATAAAGATGTGGTATATATATACAATGAAATACTACTCAGCCATAAAAAAGGCAAATCATGCCATTTCAACAACATGAGTGGACCTTGAGTTTATTATGCTAAGTGAAATAAGCCAGACAAAGAAAGGCAAACACCCTACAATTTCAGTCATATGTGGAAAATAAGCAAATACATGGATAAGAAGAACAGATTAGTGGTTACCAGAGGGGAAGGATGTTGAGGTTGGGCAAAGGGGTACAGGGGCACATGTGTATGGTAATGGATAAAATCTAGACTATTGGTGGTGAACACCATGCAGTCTACGCAGAAACTGATATACAATATGTACACCCAAAATTTACAATGTTATAAGCCAATGTGACCTTAATAAAATAGTTAAAGCAAAGAAACAAAAACAAAATAGTTCTAATTCCTTCCTCCTCTCCCTTATATCATTGCCATTAGCCATTTCATTTATATATAGGCATACACAAATGTATATATTTATGTGTATATATACTTAAGTATAATATGATATATATGATATATACCTAACTATACATAATAGAATACATTACTGCTATTATTATTTTGGAAAAAAAGAGTATTATCAGTTAGATAATTAAGAATAAGAACAATAGAAAGTTCCTTATTTTCATACCTTTACCTATTCCTCCTTTGATGTTCCTCCTATCTTTATGTAGATCTGAGTTTCTGACCTACAATATTTTCCTTCTCTCTAAAGAACTTCTTTTAAAATTTCTTGCAAGGCAAATCTGCTGGCAACAAATTCCCTCAATTTTTGTTTGCCTCAGAAAAATCTTTATTTCTTCTTCACTTTTGAAGGATAATTTTTCAGGGTACAGAATTCTAGCTGGGTAGGCTTTTCTCTCAACACGTTAAATATTTCACTCCACTGTCTTCTTGCTTGTGTGGTTTTTGAGGAGATGTTGAATCCAATTCTTAACTTTGTTCCTCTCTAAATAAGGTGTTTTTTCCCCTCTGGTTTCTCTCAGGATTTTTTCTTTTTCTTTGATTTTCTGTAGTTTGAACATGATATACTTAAGTGTAGTGTTTTTCTTTAGCGTTTATCCTACTTGATGTTCTCTGAGCTTCCTGTATCTGTGGTTTGGTGTCTGAAATTCATTTGGGGAAATTCTCAGTCACTGTTGCAAATATTTCTTCTGTTCCTTTTTCTCTTTTTTCTTCTGATATGCCCATTATGACTTTTGTAGTTGTCCCATAGTCATTGGACATTCTGCTCCATTTTTTTCAGTCTTTTTTTGTCTATGCTTTTCTGTTGTCGAGCTTTCTATGGATATATCCTCTAGCTCAGAGTTTTTTTCCTCTTCCATGCTCAGTCAACTAATTAATTAGTGAAAGGCATTCTTCATTTCTGTTACATTCATTTTTTATCTCTAGCA